TTTCCTTATTTAATTGATCAGAAATAGATATTATATTTCTCTTTTTTTTTTTTTTATTATTGATCCATTTTTTTATGATTATGATTCCTCAACTAGACAAATCCTTATATCACATATATATATATATATATATATATATATATATATATATATATATATATATATATATATATAGTCGTCAACTATTAGCAAATAATTAATTTAAAAATTATTATTTTAAAATATAAACAGTTGAAATTCGAAGAAAAAAAACAAATTTCACCTTAAAAAATAGAATTTAAAGTAATTAATAATTTTAGAAATTATTATTATTCTAGTCAAATGAGAAAATATTATAATTATAACCTGATATGCTTCTTTAATTATATCATATTTATATTTGGAGTGTCCTGTGTTGGACCTGCTAATAAATGGACCTCATATATGAGTTCATAATAATAATAGCATATTAAGTAGAATCTAAATATAAAAAATATTTCTAAATAATATCAAAAATAAAAAATGAATAATGAAAAATATTCTATTATTAAAATTATATTAAAGGTTAAAACGAGAAAAAAAATATTATTTAAAGAAAAGATTTGTGGGTGTTTAAATAAAAGTTATACTATAATAAATAAAGGGTTTTATTAATTTCATGTTAAAGGAGGTAAATTATTTCATGTCATAGAGACAAACTTGTAGACTTCACCATCTGAAAAAAAAAAGATGACACAGTTATCGAAAGATATGTAAGAAATTTTTTTTATCTCATATAGCATAAAAATAGATTTTCCCATAAATAAATCTATTCCAGGCCGTCAATGACGGTTGATCATTCAAATTTTTTTTTGCTTACTTACAATCTCAAGTGACAACTCATATGGATAAGCTTTATGATATGAAATTAAGGAAATCTACTTACAAAATACCACGGTGGACAAATCAAAAATTCCCTGGCGCTGTCATATTCGTTCCAAGATTTATTTATATTCATTTAACAGATAGTTCTGGAGGTATAAATTACGTGATCCTTCAATTAGTTTGTGTAACTTACCCTTCAATTTTTGTACATTGCCATGTAAAAAATTAAGAAACGAAGCTCAAATTAGACAAGACTCCTTCAATTTAGGATCGATCATGTGTAACTTATCCTTCAATTTTTACATTTTCATGTCCTTTCTGTCCTAAAAAAGACATTTTGTGTATTTCCAATTAATAATTTCAATTGAGCTTACCCTAGTTCTCCCTGAGGGTGTATGCAGTAAGCACTGTCACTACTGAATATAACTTTAATGAAGGGAGCAAATTACACATGATCTTACATTTTAGTGGTTGATTGCTTCAATTCAAAGTATAAAAGATACGTCAGGATCCTAAATTGAAGGAGTCATTTAAAATTTAGCTTGAAATATAGAATTATATGCCATTAATCATGTGCATCTGCATATTCTAAACCAAAGTTTTTGTCTTATATCAATAAATATGTGCCATATTATATGCACATTAACCAAGATTTCCAAAATAAGTATTTTAGAAAGGAAGCAATGAAAGTGTTTTGTGTGCCAAAAGAAACCAAAACTATTCATTGGATTAAGGAAATATTCAAAAACCCCTCGTGATATTATTTTGAATTATTTATATTTCTATGTTTTTTTAAGTCACTTAGTCCTGGTAGCTTTTTCTATCCATAACCCTTCTTAATATTGTTAGGAACGTATAATTAAATATATATATTTTACCCTTCTTAAAAAATGAAAATAAAGTGATAAAAAAAAGATCAAATGTTATGAAAACTTAGAACACTTAATAAAAGACTAAAAAAAATTAAATGTGTCTAAATAAAAAAATAGAATAAAGTCAAAAAAAAATAGAAGAAAAAATAAGGTCAAATATGTTAAAATCATAACAGTGACAGAAAAGACTAAGTTTAAAAAAAATAAAATTACTCCAAATGAAAATTTTTTTACTAAAGATGAAAAATAGAAGAAAAAAATTAAGATAAAAAATAAAATAAAAAATTAAACAAAAATAAATCACAATTATGAGTTTTCAATATATTTGGTTTAATTTTTTTTCTTTTATTTTATTTTTTTGTTCTTGATCTTTTTTATTCTTTTTTATTTTGATATGTTTGGTCTTTTTCTATAACTTTTTTTACTTTTTAGTCTATTTTATTCTGATTTTCCCTCTTTTTTTAGCCTTGTGCTACCCCATCTACTAAAGAATTTTGTAGAAAAAATTTAAAAAAGAGAGAGAGAATAAAATAGAGATATAAAAAAGACCAAACATATTTAAATAAAAAGAATAAAATAGATCAATGATAAAAAAAATAAAAAATAAAAAATAAAACCAAATATATTGAAAATTTATAATTGTGATTTCTTTTTGTTCTACTTTTTTATTTTTATTTTTTTATTTTAGTCTTTTATTAAATATTCTATATTTTCATAACATTTGGTCTTATTTTTTTTTTCTTTTAAGAAAAGTAAATTAAGAATATTTAGTCAAAATTTTAACAATATTAAGGATGGGAATGAATGAAAAAAATTATATGAAATTAAATAACAAAAAAACATAACAGTGTAAATAATTCAAAGCAATAGCACAAGTATTCTTTTTGAACTTTTCCCTAGAATAGGATACCAAAAAAAAAAAAAAACTTTTCCCTAGAATTATATGCCTTTAATCATGTGCATCTGCATATTCTAAACCAAAGTTTTTGTCTTATATCAATAAATATGTGCCATATTATATGCACATTAACCAAGATTTCCAGGATAAGTATTTTAGAAAGGTAGCAATGAATATTAAAGTGTTTTGTGTGCCAAAAGAGAGCAAAACTATACAGTTTTATTATAGAAGCCATGCTGTTGGTAACTTTCATTTCTAAATTTGGATAAAGGAGTCTCTTTTGCTAAGATTTGTAGCCTTGCACGTAAGGTATATACTATAAAATATTTGTCTTAGATCTCGTAGAACTTGCTCTTTGGTTAAACTGAATGATTAAGAAATTCATTTTTGTTTTTAAAAATAATAATTTCAGCTTCAGTTGCATATGAGGACATTCAGAATTAGAATATATATGAACTTAAGAAATTTTAGGGTGGCAATTTCCTACCTTAGGCATTTAACTCGATCTTTGACATGTGTTGTAAAGTTATATTAATAGAGATGTTTAATTTTAACATGACTTTTCATAATTTTACACATGTTAAAAGGTTAATTTGCATGGTTAAGGTGGAAATTCCCACCCCAAGAGTTTCTCAATGAACCTTAGGTAGTGTTTGGTTCAGGAGAAATTTTATTTTACTAGGGAAATATAATTACTAGGGATCTGGGGGGAAAGTGAGTTATATAGGAAAGTTTAAAAAATGTTGTTTGGTTGAGTAAAACTTTACCAGGAAAATTGAGTTAAATTACTGAATGTGTGTTTGGTTGAAGATAAAATATGGATGGGAAAATTTAATCAAATTACAAAATAACCCTAGTAAAAATAACACTGTATTTTTTTAAAACTTATTCAATATTTATTGAAATTACATTCAATTGAGCCAACGCAGTCTCTGTCTCTATCCCACGTTGTCTCCGGCTGTTGTTCGAATTTCACCCGTCCCGCATCTGGAAAGGTGACGCAAGGAACCGCAGCAACCACAGGCTGGGAAACGTAAGGTTGTTCCCCAAGCGGAGCACGTCAGTCGGAGGAAAACCGGAAACAACCGTGATTGAACCTTCGTCCCCGAAGGTTTCGTGCATGGGGAGAGTGAGATCTAAGCGTGACCGGAATCGTAGGTTGAGAACTCGTCAGAGGTCCATTTCCTGCTCCTCCGCCACCGCCATTGCCGCCGTCCCCACTGTCATCAGGCAAAAATCGTGCGTAGCCAAAGAAAGAAAACCGATTTGTTTGAAAGAGTTGCGCTATTTTCCGGTCCGGCCGAAAAGGAAAACCGGTCCAGAAGCCCGATCTTCCGCCGCGGGATTCATCATCAAAGAAGAGAAGCTGCAGCAGGAAAGCGCGGGGTAGCAGTACGGCGAGATTATCTTCCTCACATTAGGATAAGAGGAGGGGTAAATCTGTCACATTTTTCATCCCGTTTTCAACTTGTCCTGTATTCACAATAATACCATCATCCAAGAGGGCTTCTGCAACAGTGAAAATCTCCCTTTTTTACACACATATGTCGATAGCCAGGGAAGCAGGTTTGATGGAGAAATTTCAGTTATCCCTCAACCAAACGTGGAGAAGTGAGATACCCACATGCACTTTGCTGGGATAGTGAGCATTTCTCCCTAAAGTTCTTTGAATCCCAACCACTCTCGTTTGCCAAATGGACTAGTGGAGTAAGTACAACAACGGAGTATCTCTGACATCTTTATTAACTGCATAATTTTGATTGGCTCATTCTCTCCACAATTTTTTTCAGAACCCATTTTCCAAGTTCCGAGGTCTCGGTAGATTAAGATTATAGTTTTTTTCTCTCTGTTTTGGTCTGTTCACAGTTGACTTCCAATTCGTTTTCTTCATGTGGCAGTTTGTTTTCACTTTTAATACAGATATTTTTGTACAGTAAAAGTTGTAGTTGAGCATAACATGTGAGATATGTGCACAACTTGGATTAATCAAGGAAAAATTATAGTGAAGATCGGTGGGTTATCTTATCGGATAATTTGCGGAGATGTATATGTTAAAGTATCATTACTCTTTTTATTATCAGATGCATGCCATTTTATTCCATCTTCATTTGGCATGATTTTTGTGATATTTATAGAGGCATAAACCAGGCATAGTAGTCCCTTTGAAGACGCCTTGAGAAGCTCACATCAATGCCTCAAAGTGGCAGAGGTCATTGGTTATAGTAGAGGTGCCATTAATATTGATTTAGCTCGACTAATCCACAAAAGTTGCATCACATGAAAGGATCAATGTTTATTCCCATGTTTCACTAGAGCTGGATCTAGTATTTTCACGTAAATTTTCTCTTAGCTCTCTTGCAAGCAATTGGAATCCATATTATGTCGAAGTTTAGAAATTTTTATACTACAAAATTATACAATACTTAGTACAATTTGTCTATGAATGCCTCGCTTGGGATGATGTTCTCTATTATTTGCAATCAATAACTCCAAAAATAGTACAAAAGAAAACCACTGACTGTGATAATGATCTTATAAACAGTCATACATCCTCCAACACCAGAGAACTCGATCTGAAGATATACAGTCTATACAACCCTAAGTTACTATATCATTTATCAAATCTAGGTACAAATTGGGCATGGTCATTTGTTCCACTGAATAACTGACTATATAGTAGTTACTAGTAAGCCAACCATTGTGCTTATCATCAAAATGTGGGATGTGACTCCCTTATTTATTTGTTTAGGAATTTTATGTGGACACACTATTTGGAACCCCTCTGCATGTAACACCAGGTTCTGAGCTAGGTGCAAGTAACTCATAAGGCAACACACCTGCACCACAACGGTTCCTCAGAGTCCTATCACAGTTCCTGCTATCAATCACCTTCTCTATCTGCCTTATCTTTGCTGAGAAGTCATAGAATGCCTCAATGATCTCAGCATCACCTGACCAAATCGATGGTTGTTGCCGCTCTCCCAAGTACTCCTCATCAGGTGAGTGAGTGGAGAGTGTGTCAACCACAGCCATGAATTTTGTAGCTTGCAACAAGCTAGGCAATGCATTGAGAAAATACTTTTGTGGGTCTGCTAAAAAACTGGTATATTCTGGGTCACTCTCTTGTGGTATTAACCTTCTCATTAATGGGGGACGGTTTGGCACATAGCCACCATAAGGATACTGACCAAAGTTAAGAGCAGCATGTTGTGCAGATGCATTCCAAATCAAAATAGAAATGATGGAGACAAGATTCTCACTGTTGTTCAATGTAGGCCACCAGCTTTCATGCCTAAGATCAGCATGGCCCACATTGATTGACTCAGAGTACCATGCTTGCAGCTCTTTGTCATTGCATATGAGGCTTGAATGTGGGTAGTAATGGTTCACATAGGTGCGAACCCAATTTTCTATTGCAGACCAGATTAGTAGTCCATCAGATGCATAAGGGTAGTCTTCCATTACAAGCTTTAGACCATGTGGTTGTGTTGGGTCAGGTACTGCCATTCCCCTGCAATGTAAAAAAAAAGAAAGAAGTCTTTGTTAGATTTATTTGTGCAATTTGCATACACGGAATTAAGCAAACACCAATTGCATGTTAAGAAAAAAAAAAAAAGTTAGGCCACATATAAGTCAAATTGGTAAATAGTTACCAAGAATCTAAGATATTTATTTACCTGCGGATGAGATCAGCAGGGAGGCTATCCATGTCAAAGCGCCAAAAGTTTTTGTAAGCAGCTGAACTAATCTCCATAGAGTAGCGACCAGGAGTGAAGCTAGACTCAATGATTCCATCTGCATGGATTAAGCTCTGGCGAGCTAGGGCATTGATCTCCAACGTGTACCTCATGTGTGGATCCAATAACTTAAAAATAGGATGCATAGCACTCAATTGCCTATGAGCTGCCAATATAAATGGTTCCAAGCAGGCATGTGTGCGTAACCTATATATAAAATTGAGCCAAATATAAAGTTCAGGTAAGTTAAACCACCTAGATAGAAGTTATAATACTCTCTTTTTTATATATATTATCCATTGGTTCATTGAGTATTTGATTAGTTCGATTTAAGTCAGGTACAACCAAATAGGCGGCAAATCTCTCTCTACCAAGTTTTAACACAATTGCGTTCTTGGGGACTCAAATTTGAGACCACTGATTAAGCTGAAACAACCCCTCATCAGTTGATCCACGTGGTGGTAAGTTCTAATACCTTTAAAGCACTAACAAATAGAAGAAGAGTGGGACTTTGCTTACCAATGGTTAACAAGTTGGTGCACCCCAGCATCATTGGAGCAGACATGGGCCTTGGCAAGTTGCCATATCCAATTAGTAGTTGCATCAATAGGAGGAGTAACTACGCGTTTTGATCGTGAACTGGGTCCAGCAGGAGGCAGGCTAAGTTCTATAGCCACAGGCTTGAGAGTACCAAGGGATGTCAAGAAAAAAATGGTACGTGTAGCATATGATTTTCTACCATCTAAGGCATTGATCCCTTCAAGAAATGGAAGGTAGACATCATGATAATCAATAATAAACAGCTTATTTTCCTCTATTGCCTGCAAAAATTAAAATAAATGAGTTTAGTACAAAATGGTTAAACCGTTAAAGTATTAAGAGAAGACAATATATACTTCATTACAAAGCATGGTTAGTAAATTTATGAAGGCTTTGATGTGTACCTGTTGAACAGTCATGCCATTTAGTTGACTTAAAATGTGTTCTTCTTTAAGAGCAGACTCTTGTGGACCATAAATTTCCGGGTCTAATTTGCTAACGGGTGGGAAAACTTTGAGCCTTTCAATGTTGACCGGGTTAATTCCTGCTAGTGCTTGGCGACCAAATTCGTCATCTCGCAACCATGCAAATTTGTCCTCTGCAATTTAGACACGTAAGATCATTAGTTTAATAAGAAAATTACAGATATCTGTTTAAATTTATGTTGCATCGACACCGACACCGACACCGACTCGGGACACAACACTCAGGCACATTAATTCTAAAAAATGTTGAATTTTGACACGTTAGGACATGTTTTGATATTAAATAATATTTTTAATTTATGTAGTGTATATTATATTTAATGTTCAATAATTTAACAACAAAATAAAACTACATTTATAATACCCATCAATTTTGTTAAAAACTAAGATGTAAACATTTACTATTTTATTTTCAAATTGAAAATCTCTTGTACACTCCGGTGATTCAGCATCCATTTATTTTTATTATATCAGTTTGGTAAAACATTGATAAATTTTTTCATGATATGTAATGAAATTTCAAAAATTATAGATGTCGGAGCATGTTAGAGTGTTAGACACGAATAAATCTTTGGTGCTACTATTGCACCAAGACTCAGTGCATCCCACTAATAGGAGCATTACACATCATAGGAGTGAGAAAAAATTTGGCAGAGAAAAGAAAACTTTAGCTGACATGTAATATTTCTATTGGTGGGATGTACTGATTCTTAATTTGGTGTAACAATAGCACCAAAGATTTATTCGTCGGACACGATACTTCAGGTTTTTTTTGAAGTGTCGGTACTACATAGGTAACTATATTAAAAAAATCCACATGTGACACGTTTAAAATAACAATTGGATGCATGGTTGGCTACAATTTATTTTATTATCATGAATAGAGGCCAAATAAAGTGGCCCTCTTTCTAGTGATCTTATCACTATGCCATGCTACTTTTCAAGACCAAAGCAATGATACTAAGATCCCAGTGAAAAGAAAGCTCATAAAGTAATTAGCAAAAAGAGAAAAAAATAGGGATATAGAAGGAAATAACCATAAAGATAAAGATAGTATAAATATATAACTTTTTTCATATTTAGTAAAGAATGTAACGAGTGATAAGTACATTTGTAATGCTGAAAATATTTTTCATAAAAACAAGCCCAATAGTTTAAATAGCCGAGAATATTTCAACTTTGAAATCTAAAATTGAGAATATAAAAAAAGATTTATTTAAGAAATCTTTAAACTCAATTGAGTAGCCAAATTTTATATAAAAATGAAAGACAAGAAATTGACAATGAGAAGGGTATATATACTCACTGGAAATAATCTTGGGAGTGTCATACTTAAGAAGTCCCTGGCTGGATTCTTGGATCTTGCTGACAACGTTTGGCAATGGAAGTCTCTTCAAAACGTCATCTTGTAACCCAAACTTAATGAGCAACCCTTCACTGTAAAGGCCATCAACGTCTGAGAATTCATTAAAGTCTTGGTTATTAGCAGAAAGGCTAGCCTTAAGGCTCGGGATCAAGTTATGTAACACTGCTTTGAGCCTCTTGACAGAGAATGTGTTCTGCTTAGATTCCTCAAATCGTTCATCTCTTGGCACATACATAGGCAATGGCTTCTCCACACGACTCTCAGCGTACATATCTGCAGCCCCCAATCAAATATTGCTTAGTAAAAATCATAACATAGCTACCTAGTACCTCAAATTCAATTATATCACCCAAATTGTGGAAACCCCTTTATTAATTATTATTATTATTATGTATAACGACATGGAAAATAAAAATGTCTAAATAGCATAATTCATAATGATATTAACTTTTTTTTGGGTGCAATATTGCTTTTTTTTTGTTTTGTTATTATTACCTGTATCCGATGGGGCACGACCAGTACGACACCGTCTTGGGTATGGATACATTTCTGACCCTCCAAGAGTTGGTCTAACAAGTTCAACTCCTTTATCTGGATTTCCAAGATCATTGTATGTGTCATAATCATATATTCTGTCACATAAGTTCCTAACTCCTTTGCAATCACCTCTGAGATTTCTTAACTCTTTCTCCCTCAATAATCTAAGCCCAGCTGGTGTATCTCCGGGTAAATAAGGCTGCTCAAATAAATCACACAATAAATAATCATGTTATATAATTTTATTTTTCAGTCAAAAGTCAAACTAAAAAAAAACATATTATTATTAATGTGAATTTCTTCAAAACAATAAGATATTAACACCGCATTCATCCTCAGTGAGGGTATTAAATCGAACGGTGTCTAAGCCGTGGGTAGTTAGTTGAATGGTCAATTCAAAGGTGCTTGGCCAATGCATTTGCATTACTTTATGGTTTCCTAATGGATCCGCTTTTGTTTGTTTATTGACGAAGACGACTTCAAGAAAGGATATAATATAAAAAATATAAAATCACCCACTAATTCGCATTGAAAAAAATAAATGAACTTTTGATTTTTTTTCTGGCCTATCGAGAATTTTCAAAAGAAAAACTAATATCACTTTGACCTTATTTCTCAGTTTGAAAAACAATAAAAAAAAAAAATAGAAAATAATAAAACTCTATTTTTTTTTTCTAGGCCCTGTTATTATGATAGGAAAAAGAATAAACGAAATAAATAAATTAAGAGGGATTACCTTGTTAGAGAAGAAAATTCTCTTTCCTGGGTGATCTTTTCTGGCTTGAACCCATGAGTTGCAGGGGAAATGAACTGGTCCACTAGCAAATCCTTCAATGGTTATACTTTCCAAGAAGAGCTCTTTTTGGTGTTTATTTGTCACAGTAATCGCTCCTGGCTCCCCAAAACTCGAGTCTACGATGAATTCAGCTGTGTAATTAACCCTCTCTGCTTTAACATTTGACTTCTTTGACCAGTCCTTCAACACTGCTTCATTACTCTTCTTTGCAGCTTTCGTTTCTTCAGAAAAAAAAAAGAAAACAATGGATTCAGTTTATACTCATCGATCAACACATAAATTAAAATTAAAAAGATTAAAATAATAAGAAATATAGAACTTGATCTGATATCCAGAAGATTGAAATAAACCAAAACAAGGAACCTTTCACAGAAAGTGAGAACACCAAAATAAAATTGAAAAAAAAAAAAAAAACTTTTTTTTTTTAATTATTAACATTTCAAGCACACCCTTAAAGAGAAAAAGTATTGGGGTTGCTTGAAGTGATGGTTTTTGAAAGTAAGAATCATAAGGAGCAAATTGTGACACACCCAAAAAGTCTTACTTGGATCAATCTCAGTGCTAACTAGCTCAAGAACAACATTTCTTCCTATCATCTCAGTTAAAGCATCTAGATGCTTGAAAATGGTCTCTTTGAAATCTTCTTTGATCTTGTTCCTCACTGTGACAACAGCTCTAACCTTGAATTTCACTGGTTTCTCTGCAGGCACAGAAGAAGAAGAAGAAGAAGAGTCCTTCATTAAATCCTCACTGATAGCAGCAACAGGAAACTTTGCAGCCTTCCTCAACCTCACAAATCTTGTGTTTTCTAATGGAACAAAGACAGGGCTAACAAAGAACCGGTTCTGCTTCTGTTGAAGACTTTGGCGTAGAAGCACTTTTGAGAAAGAAGAAGAAACAAACGAGGACCTCTCTACACATGAAGAACCCATGATTTCATTTACAAGGGCCATGATCACTTGTTCTCTCTCTTCTCTCTCTCTCTCTCTCTCTCAAGAACTCTGGTTCCTCTATTCAAGTTTGATGAGTTTGTGAAGGTAATGGCGTGTCGGTTGAAATGGAAATAGCTGGCTCAGATTTCTTTTATACAGAGAAGAGAAGAAGAAAAAAAACAAAAAACAAAAACAAAAACTAATTAAATAAAGGTGGTGATCATGAATCTTAATTCACCGTCCAGTCGTCCACACGTTTTTTTTTTTCTTCTTTTTGAAATGATGATACTTAGAAGTTCTCACATAAATATATTTCTGATTTCTAATAATTGAGATCATAAAATCAATAGGAGAATCTTACCATTAATTTGTCACCACCAATATTTGGGAGAGAAGATATTTTATTTATCGAATATTTTTTTTTGAAAATACAATGAGAAAAAAAAAATCAGATAAATTAAAAAAAAGTGTTTGATAGGTGGAACAGTGATCAAAGTGTCACTCTTCATCAATTTTTTTACCTAAATGTCGTCCAAACAGTCTTATTTTTCAATCTGTCACGGGGACAAGTTCGCTACCCGGTGTAGCGAACTCGGTTTGTTGACGTGTCACGTTTCTAGAGGACACCAAGTTCGCTACACGGGCCGTGTAGCGACCTTCAATTTTTTTTATTTTTTTTACTTTGGTATTTGTAAACGTGACACGTCAGCAAATCAAGTTCGCTACATCGGGTAGCGAACTTGCCCTCGTGGCAAATTGAGAAATAAGACTGTTCGCGTGACATTTAGATAAAAAAGTTGATGAACAGTAACACTTTGGTCACTGTTCCTTGATAAGTCCAAATTTTTTTCAAAAATATTGAGTTAATTATACTTATGCTATGAGAAAATAAAAATTTAGATAAATTACAAAAAAGTGTTTGATAAATCCAAAAATTTTCAAAAAATATTGAATTAATTATACTTATGCTATGAGAAAATAAAAATTTCATGTATCATATGATATTTTTGTTTGAAATTCTATAATTAAAACTGAAATGATGAAAAAAAAACTTTCTGAAAATATTTTCAATTTCCTCGTAATAAATATTGAAATTTTTTTTGCCCCACCCCATGTTTCCAAGATTTTCAAAATAATCTTCATACCAAACATAGTCAGTGATGATAGATTGAGATAAGAAACAATTCATTGACTATTTAACGCATGTATTGTTTATTTCTTTGGATACATAATTAGAATTTGCTTCTGGATTTCTTAAAAAGGAAAACTACGAGATAATATCTTAAGAAATGTATGAAAGCAAAAATAATTTAAAAAATAGTACAATATTTTAAATTTTTATTATCTATTAATTATTAAATATTATATTTACAACTTCTTTTTACATACGATCTCTTATAATAAAATTTTAATTGTTGATTTTTGTCAACTGACTATTATAATTTATGAGTTATACTTATTAATTAATTATTAATTTCTAATAAATTATAATTGTCAGATTGCAGAAAATCAACCGTTAATCTTTGGTTACAAGAGATTATAAGAAAAAAAATTGTAAATATAACCTTCTTTATACAATTTTATCCAAAAACAAAATTTAATAATTTTTTTTTATATTTTTTTCAACTCTAATATTTATAAAATAAAAAATACATTTAATAAATTTTACGTCATTCTATCCAATAATTATACATATTAAATTTTTTATATTTATCTACTGGCTATCAAATAATTAATAATTAAAAAATTATTACGTGATTCCATTAATCGTATTGTTGTTCTTATTATAGTTTCTTCAATATACGTCTATTTTTATACAATAAGACAAGCGAGAGGTGAAAAAGAAATAATTCTGTTATGTTTAAATAGGTATTTACAATATGTATAATTATATTTAAGATTGTAAACATGATTTCAAATTTGTTTCAAAATAATTAGCAATTTTAGTAAAATTAATCTTATATCAAAATCATGCTTTTATTGTTAAATTTCAATAATAATATTTTGTTTCTTTTACTGTATAAAAAATTCAATCCAGATGTGTATAATGGTTATTTTAATGATATTTACATACTCAAATTAATAATTACATATTTATCAATAAATTCAAACCTATTACTTTGTGTCAAATTTATTTTTTAATGAAAAATTTAAACAAATTATTACTTACTAACTCACTTCTAACTAATTTTGACCATTAATTTTATTAATTTTATCGTTATAATTTATTAAAAATTAATAATTAATTAATAAATATAATATAATAAATTATAATAATTAGATTCATTAAAACTAAATATTAAAATTTAATTAAAAGAGTTTATAAGCGAAAGAGATTATAAATATAATATAATTTAATCTCATATTAAATATTTTCTTTCTTCTTTATTTATTTTTATTTTTTAAAGCTTTTGACTTGTTTTTGGGATGCATTTGTTATCGTTATTTTTCTCTTCAAACTAAAGGATTTGATAAGTCAAAACAAGTGAAAAACGCGGCGTTCAAGAAACTGCAGAGAAAGTGAGTTATATGCCACGTTGGGTAGATGCTTCTTTGTAAGATGGCAGTGGACAGTGGTGTCCCTTTTACTTTTACTAGTCTTGAAACTCGAAATTTTCGTGACCAATCACTGGAGAAGAATAAAACAGTTGCTCATTTCAATATGCATATTGGATTTTTATATTTGTACCATTGTGTATAGTGGATTCCACAAAAGTAAGTCTAGCTTGTTTGTGAATGGCTTCAAGATTAATTTTTTTAATAGTTCAATAAATTAAAAAATATAATCTATTTATTAAAAAAATGAGTTTGAAATTTTATTTTATTCAATTCATTGAGTAGGTTCAATATATAACATATGCGTACTTTTAAATAATAATGATATTTTATTTTTCATTTGACTAACTTATTTTTTAATTGAATATGTGTATATTTATATTAATTTAAATTAATTAAACTTAACTCAATAAACTTAAAATATTTCATGAATATAGAAAGTGAAATTGATTTACTAAGCTCTACAAACCCGCCGGCTTAAAATAAAATAAATTTGACTTTTTTATTAAATATATCTAAATTATATCTAATTTAAAATAGTTCGAATCACTTCTAATATATATATATATATATATATATATCAATTAGGTTAGATATAAGATAACTAGTAATCAATTTTTTTTTCAAAAACAAAAAGATTATGTTTATAATTAACTATATTATTAGAAAATTCAAGGGATATTTTATTTTTCAACTTTTTATTTGTCGTTGATATTTTATAAATAAAATGAAAAAAGTGATAATAGAGTAAAAATATTTTTAAAGTTGTAATATTAATATCATTTTATTATGTATAGCTACATTTGTTTTTTTTTTTTTAAAAAAAAAAACTAAGCATCATTTAACAACCATCACTACTACACAAACTGTCGCCGCCAAAGCTCCACCATCAACCTCTTCTTAATGGGTTGACCTATGAATCCAATAGGTTTTTCCTTTGTTGAGCATTAAGCTTCAAAAATCTCAAAAACAAAATTTTTTCACCTCAAGAAACATGTAGAGAAAGAGAAAAACCCTGAGAGAAAAGGGTCGATGATGGAGCAGGAAGACTTGCTTCAAAGAAGTGTTAAGAAAACCAAAGAGACTAGAGAAGATGATTCCACCATGGATGATGAGATGCGTGAAACTGAAGAAGGCCAAGAGGAACCTAAGTCCTCACCTCTGGTCGCTGTTGTTAATGAAGAAGGGGAAGGTGTGGGGCTAAGCTAAGGTAGGAAAATAGTATCCTACAAAGACAAACTTCTCAATCTGAATGGTGATGGGAATATCTCTAATAATGAAGATGAGGATTGGATGACAATTCAAAAGAGGAAAGATGATGAAAATGGCATGGAGGATAAAACTCCAGTTGAAGATGAGGACCTTATTTGTCCAGTGTACAAAGTGTCGAAATCCCATCACAAATAAGATTGTAAGCAATGAAGGAGTGCTCTGATCATTAAACTCCCCATAGAGCTCTACTCATCTCACCACCTTTCGAAGATTGGGAACATCTTTGGAAGGACCTTAAAGATAGACAATAATTCCTTGAAGAGAACAAAAAATGGGGATGGAGAGACAACAGAGAAATCTAGGTTTGCTAGGATATGCGATGAAGTTAATATAAAGAGAAGTTTTCTATCTCAATTTAAGATTGGCAACAGAACCTTCCAAGTGGGCTATGAGGGTCTCCACCTCATTTGCTTTTCATGTGGATAGTATGGCTACGGGAAGGAGCGGTGTTGTGCATTCGAACAAACAAATCCAACAGGAATGGAGGATACTAGTAGCAATAATATTGGTAAGGTGGCTAATGAAGGAGATGACGGTCCTACTAAGGAAGATATGAAAGCCTTTAGGCAATGAATGGTGGTCCAAAAAGCCCTAAAGAATCGCTGGCTGAAGGTAGATATGGCGGAGGCAATTTCAGGGATGTCCAAACAGGTGAGTCAAACCAGCAAGCACATTTCCCAAGGCGCTGCAGAGGTGCAGGTTGTCAATCATAAAAATTCTGATCTAATAAAAGGTTAGCCAAAGTTAAGGATGACAGAAACCCAAAGTATCAAGAGGAGTTTCATAGAAAAAGATATTTCAATGCAGGTTCTATCAAAGGAGGTGTGGCTAAAAGTAAGACAAAAAATGCTTCGAAAAGGTGCCAAAAGGCATGGGGTGATTAAGTAAATGCCTAGAGAGCAAAAATTTCATTAGGTCCCACATCCATGCAGACTATTATTCCTAATAGTAAGAAAAAGATCCATGTTGCGATTTCGAAAAGTGCACAAGTCATACAAGTAATAAAGTGTAATGCGTACAAAATTGTTTACACGAGGATTATAATTTCAAGAATTAATTCACCATCTACGCTTAACTTGGACTATCAACAAAGAGAATTGAATAAGATTGGTAATCCAAAAAAAAAGAATTGAATAAGATTGAATTCAGAATTTTAAAATTAAAGTAACGAGCAAGCAGATTAAATATGTGTTTCTTAACAATCAAGAATGCACAGTTAGGGCTTCGAGTTCTTCCAATTTTCCCTTTATGTTATGAATTAAAGCACTTAATTAATTACCCTTAACATATTGCCAATCGATTCCTCTGAAATAATTAGAACTCAATCCCTTAACATTCTAATTTCTTTATTTTCTTAAAAGAACCCTAATCCCCCAGTTATTCCT